ACCATTTCCTCCAGTAAAACCTACTACAGCTCCCAAATTAGCTTCCACAAGCTCTCAATTTAGCTATATCTGTGGGGGGGGGGGAGCAAACTTCCATTTGGGTGAGGGACAGTTACTATCCAAATCATAACAGCCATCATGTACCAGCCACTGGAAAATTGAACATTCTTGTTCTTTGGTGTTCACTGGTCGATCCGAAGAAAACAGAGGCATGGAAACACATGCTATAACCTCAGCATGGAGAAGATTGTTGTTATTTCTGGAAGTTGTATTACCATTGTCACCACCATCATTACCTAGTAATAATGATAAGCACTCTAATACACACCCAGGCATAGTTCTATATGTCTCCGCCTCTTTATAATACTTTTATGAAGTAAGCACTAGTTTATCTTAAGGATGAAACAGAAGTGTAGTATGTTTCAAGTAACTTGTAATTTCAACTCAATGATTAAAAGTAGGAAGTGTAACCCAAGACTTTGTGATAGTAGCTTTGGAACTTTGTATTAATCAGAGCAACTATGGAGGTCAGAAAAATGGTAGGAGGCCAGGAGAGGACATTTCAAGAGAAGGGCAATGGGGTACAGTATGAAGATGGAGTGGCTATTATTACTGTTCTTTGTTGCCCTCCAAAACTTGATGCTAAGATCCTATTGCTGAAGGCATTACCTACTAAGTCATAAAACATGGAAGGTCAAGCTGGTAAAAGTCTGGAAGCTTCATACCCACTAGCTAGCTTTAATAGTGCTGGCAGACATAATGCTTGGTAGAAAAGAAGAAAACAACCATCACTCTTACCCAGCTGTGAACCTTGCAAGCTATAATAACAACCTACCTGGTAAGAAATGTCCAGTGGTACAATAGTGGCAAGAATATAATGGGGGTAGCCAACCACTTTCTGATTGGATTTAGGTCCTTTTCCACAAGATAGACCACATACCTTTTACTATTGTCTTGGCCAGCAATTTGGTTATAGGTCATGGGGAAGAACCTACTATTATTCTACAAATAAGCATAATTATATCAGCTCTTAATGACTTATTGTTGTATCTATGTACGAGTGCATCTCAAATTTCATCAGAGATGCTTTTTCTAGAAGCAGATGGAGATTAAGACAGAAGATCCACAACTGGACAATGTATGCAGAATGGGAGACTATGGAGTGCTGAGCACTGAATGGGTCATCTCTATCACAACCCTTCTTCGAAGGCTCGAGGATAATCTACGAAGAGGAGGTAAAAAATAGTATAAGAGTCAAAGATAATGACTAACTACAAGGAGACAATGTGTTCTGGAAACTGCAGAGAAGTTGCACTTACGACAATAGCTACACAAGATCAAACCAAACACAAATCCAGTCATGGGGTGGGAAGGTGTTCACAAAAACCCAATCTTGGTGCTCACTTATTCACATAAAGGTAGCATTAAGTGGACTCAGTGGATATATTTATATATATTTTTTTCAAAAAATGAACCCATGAAATTGGGAGGGATAATAAAAGAACTAGAGCAAGGAAATAGTTATATTAACTTGACTTAAAAACAAAACAAAAACCATGAAAAAATTCATAATCTTAACTGTTATGACACTTGACCTAAGTGGGGTTTTTTTGTTTGTTTTGAATCACTTTCTTTGAATCTGAAATCTCAAGACTTAACTCCCAGGGCTGACTCGGGAAGAAATGGGTACCATCAAATGCAGTTTCCTGCTGACTCCCAGCACAGTCGGCCTGCTGTAGGCCTTTCTGTTACCATGGCTCTGCCATGCAGCTCTCCTAGGGATGAAGGCAGGAGGTGTTCCCTTGGCCTTTAATTGGGAGATTGGCAAATAATTAATTATCAACCCCAAGGTTTCCTGGAAGTTATAGAAGATATGCTTTGTACATGCTTCATTTCATTCTTCAGACTATTGACTTTACCTCCTCCATATCCTTTCTTTCCACAGAGTCGTCTATACATCTGGGAAATATTTCAATTAGTGAATTCAGGAAAGCAGATGAGATTGGAGAGTATAGACAAAGTAAGAACGCCCCACGGTGTGATCACTGTCCTGTGCGGTCATGGGGTATTTTGTATTAATTATTAATACATGATAATTAACATTTTATTAAGTTATTACATGTGTGGGTCTGAATTTTCATACACTATATGTTGAAAATACAAACTAAGTTCCATGCAAGGCAGCCTAATAGAAATCTTATAGGAACAATGTAATTGAGTTTAAAGAAAAACCAAGCCAGGTATAGTGTCTCATATCTACACACCCAGCATTCCAGAGCTGAGGCAGGAGGATTTCCATGAAGTATGTTAGTAATGGCAGCACTAGATAAGACAATTATTCTAATAAGAAATCAGTGATGTCGTTTTCTAGGAGACTGACATGGATTTGAAGATATACTTCCTAATATTACGCTGTAAGTGAGCGTTTCCTGTCCCCACCACCCGGAAGAATTACCTATGGGGAGTTCCAATGTTGTAAATGCTCTTTCAACTGTTAGAGATTGAATCAGGGCTGTCCGGCATGCCCCTCAGTCAAGAGTGCACCGGGGAAATTCCAAGGGTGTGAGAAAGCCTGCATTTTGTACTCGCCATTACTGAACCAACCTCAGGTCCTTCCGGGCAGGCATTTGCTTTACAGGCTGAAGGAGGCACGGGGAAAATACTGAGGGAAGTGCCATGAAAAGCTCCTTAAGCATCCGATTAGTTTATGACAGGGACTTAAACATAAGAGAGGCCACAGCAGGGCTGAGCCCTAATAGAACTTTGATTTGCGTGGAAAGGATGTGGGATGACTATTCATGCTTTCAGGGCAGACTTAGATAAGGAAGACTGAGAAAAGAAATCTGCTTGGCTACTAGCCAGAGATTGTTCATGGCTTGAAAATACCTTTTAGTCTAAGGGATTTAGCTCATAATCCCAACCAGGACAAAATAAAACCTGACACAGCTCACTCACTACTAAGATACAAATCACCGCTAATGTACTAGGCCTTTGGACCACCTTGGCTTTTCTGGGGTTTTAGGGTGGATTAAGCTGGAGATTCATATAATCTAGTGATTTCCCAATCATACCACAGATGTATTAAGTCAGAATGTCTGACAATAGAATTCAGAAATTTTTTCTTTCAGATTCCCCAGTTATTCCATCACGAAGACAACTCCAAAGAATATATATAACACATCACTTTCCCTCAACTCTGAGGACACAACCTGTAGCCATAAAAGTATCTGTCCTGATGAGTTGAAGTTGCAAGTTACTTCAGCCTGCCCTCCTCCTGAGTTTTCATAACCACGCTACATTTCCACTTACATTTTCACCTGATGGTCTGGCCCCAAATCTATGAACTCACTTTAAACTTTGAAGCCAATGTTTTCTCACTAATAAACTTCCCTCTATTGAAAGCTCTGCCCACAAAGTATAGGAAGCAGCTTGGAGCTTTGAAAGGAGCAGACAGGGCCCAGGGCTATTGAACTAGAATCTGCATTTCACAAGCTCCTTGGGGAATATACTTCCAGTCTCAGCTTCGGAATGTATTATTCTGGAGGCCCACTTCTCAAAGCATTCTTCAAGGACAGTCACAAGGACAGAAAACCCACACTTTAGCATCTCTTTACAGTGTCAGCCTCCCACAGCACAGGTGCCAAAATCTTGGCCTCCTGTCTAATGCCTGCTATGCGTGAGGCAGGGGTCTAAGTTTACTGTTTTTATGATGTGTGCAATTACTGAACTCATTTCACACATGAAGATACTGAGACAGAAGAAACTAGTACTAAGTCAGTGATGACAAACTGTAAATATGACCTGTCCATAATGCAGTCTCCTCCATTAAATGCTCACAGTCCTCAGATGTTTGAGCTGAAAGAAGTCATAAGGGTGTCCCAGCACACACCCTGAGTGGGAAAGAGTGTGGGGTGTTCTAGGACATGCAGAGCAGCTATTGGGACACAGGATGAGGGATTGCCCTATAGGCCTCATACAATTGCAAATATCTGGCCCCTATCCCACAGCTACTGGACCCAAATTCCTGTGCATAAAGACAGCAATGTTTCACTGAACTTCTAGCTGATTCAGAGGCAGCAGCATTTGAAAACAACAGGCTTAAAAATGACCATTTCTTTGCAAAAATCCCCCATCTCTTAGTATCCTTTGATTAACCCAAGCTTATTTAATATCATGTTCTAGGCATGGGACTAAACACAAGAATAATCAGGAAGCTGGAAGAAATTGAAAAATTGAATCTTTACCCCTTCAGGTCTCTGGCTGCAAAATTGAAAAGAGTTATCTAGGTTTGAAAAGTTGGAGACAAAAAAGACAACACAGAAGCTTAGAAACTATTGTTATTGCAGTATCCACCATTAAACAACTAATTGTATCTCTGGATATTGGAGTAAAATTTAAAGCTACTCCAAGAGCAATTATAGTACAAGCTTGATTCTCGAACCCTCAGCCAAGGTAAGACAATGACTCTAAAAAAGCAAAGCAAGTTTTACTGCATATAGACTACACAGTCAGGCAGATGCCCAGGATCGACTAATCTGGCTTCTAAAGTGACAGGGGACTTATATGAAACCACAGCAAATTTAAGCTTCCAATGAGTATTAGTTTTCCCACTTTATAACTATTGAACAGAGGGATTGTGCTAATCCCTGATGAGTCAGAAGCTAAAAGAAATAGGGGATTCTCCCACCATTCACCAGCATTTTCCCAATATTTATTCAATGCTACTATTAAAACTTCAGTTCGGCTCCTTCAACACTATCTTTAAAATGCATCGGAATAGGGATCCCTTTTCTTTTCCACTGTCTTTCTTAGTTGTGCCAAACCCCATTTATCTGATTATCTATTTTGGATCTTCATTCCAGAAGTAAATGGTGGAGAGTTCCTGAAAGAGATTAGCGCGTTCCTTGTCTCCCGAAGATCAGATATAGAACTCTCTAAGTTTCTTCTTATTCAATACACCTATTCCTGATTCTGCCATCAAGCAGAGCTGGCACACTAACCCTGTGGTAGTGTAAGAACATGAATGGCACACGTGTTGAACTGCATATGCAGGGTACCCTCTTTGTAGCATAAGACATTGGTGGTAGTAGCCAGCAAGCTGAGAGCACACGAAGACGTCACTGAGAGCTGCCATGATCCCTTTGCCCACTGGGTCTGTGGCAACGCTGGCCCTACCTGACGAAGTGGCACTGTAGAGGAATCAGAAGGAGGAAACCCAGACGGACATGGCTGGAAATGTGCTCATGTCTGACAAGTTTGCTTTGTCCAAATGAACACTTCCTATTTCCATCAAGCTGGTGCAGCGGTAGGGTAAGTCACACCCTGTTTGTAAAATGCCACCACCATGCTCATGAATGTGCGGAGATAATCATCTCCGGGCACCATGGCTAGTGCTGTTACTACTCTTGTTTTTGTTAGATTTCCTTCTCTTACTGCAGCAGCAGTAAATAAATAAAAAAAAATCAGCAGTAAATAAAAAATTCAGAGGCCAGGACTAGGGGTGTGAAACTATTGTAAATAAAGACCAAGCTGTTCACTCCCAACCTCAGATTAAGACAGACTGTCACAACTATGAATTAGCTCATCTGGAAACTGAGATAAGTCTGGGGAACTTTGTCTACTATGCTCAGCTGAGACTTGGCTTTGCAGTGTCCTGGATAACACCTAGGCACATAAATCACCACCTGAAAAAAAATAAGAAATATAAATCTTGTATTTCCAATGTCTGTACTTGTTCAAGGCTTATTGACACAGCTGATCTTGTTTTACCATGCAGTTATGCTCATTACTGGTTTAATTGCAGTGATTAAGCCCTATATGGTAATTGAGGTGTAACTAAGTCGAGTGCACACAGCAGCTCTGCGGTGGTAATAATGCTTCAGAAGGAATCCCATAGGAATGATGTTCAAATAAGACATTGATATCTACGGTCAATAAGTTGTAACTACCTGAAGAGGTCTTCCAGACATGGGTCAGTAGGTCACATGTATTCTTAGAATGTACACTAGTCAAATCATAATATATGAATATATTTTCTTTTCCAAGTTCTAAGGAACTGCATATGTGTGGCTTTAAGTACACCCCTATACTCACTATATTGTCAACACACAGACAGATAAAGATGTTCATATCCCAGAAACCCCCACATATTCAATAGTGAGAAATGGATCAAATAGTTAGAAAAGGAAGCAGGCTGAGAACATCCAGTACATACCCGACTGACACAGGCGTGGGCAGGGTGTCCACTCGCTGAAAGCAGTCACAAGACAGTCTTTCTTGCATGGGAGGAAACAAGGTCTTACAGTTTCTGGCCGTGTGGACTCTGGACATCTGTAGAGACAAAGAGACTATGTCAGTCTTTCAGAGAGAAGATGTGGATTGACTTAGAACTGGAAGATTGCAAGCCAAAAAGCCTGTTTCTTTCAGAAGTGATAAATGGAAGATTCAGACAATGATGCCCCTTGCACAGAAGGTCATAGCCAGAGGCAAACTCAAGCCAACTCCAGCTCACTTGATTCAGACTCTAAAGTACTGTTCACTACAGCAAGGAAAAAAGATGCCGTTCTTAAAATTATGAAAATGTCAACTGTCACACCATCGGGATCAGTTCAAATAATATTTGATATTTTTTCAGGATAAACAAGTCAATAACATTTTTTTTTCACACAATATATCCAATATATCCTGATACACTACAGAAGATGAAGAAGTTGTAGAGCAAGGTATGGGTACTCAAGAAGGAAAAGTCATTAAAGGTCAATTAAAATGTTGTGTGTCTCTGATTAAACACTTTGGAATATTTAAATAGTTGTTGTTTTCATGGAGCATATAGGTTAATGAGACAGGGAACACAAGATACGCAAACCACAGATAACAAATATGTTAGCTAGCATTCAGCACAGAAAAACATGAGAACTATTATTCCACTGATAATTAAGTTAATGTGTACAACTGGGAATGGAATTATATAATCAGCCACTTGGAAGAAACGAAGTTCTGGTAAACAACAAAAAAAGTTCTCTCTTAGCTTGTTTTTATCTTTCTGACATATTTGTCTTCTACAGCAGAAATAAAATAACAAGGGAGACAGAGAGCCACTTTAATATGCATATGTAGGATTTCAGTCCATAGGGTCCCCATAAAGTCCAGACATGTCATTTGGATTGAAGGAGTCTCCAGCTCTGGCCCCATCCCTTCCCTGGACAGTGGACATTGTTCATTGGAGATATCACTCCACATAATCCTTTTGTTTTAAAGTTATGTGAAGTATTTTGTCCTAGTGATGTGACAAATAACTAATGAACTTTGGATGGCAGGTTTGAGCCCCTTCAACTCACATGCTGAGCCCCTGACCTTCACAGTGATAGTACTTAGTGGGGTCGATAGGAAATGACTAATTTATGGGAGTGAAGTGCTCCCAGGAAGACTTGTCCTGGCATGAGAAAACTTGTTTCCTCTCCTTGTCCATCCCCATGTGAAGACACAGTGAGTGGTCCACTGAAAATCAGAAAGAATCCCTTATCAGACTCTGACCAGACTGTTATCTTGAGGCTCCTACCCTCCAAGACAGAGAAGTAATGCTGTTTCTTTGGGTCAATGCTCTATGGCAATTTCGATTATAGCAGCTCAAATATGACTAAGATGAAGGTCTCAAGATCATTAACCAAAAGCCTAAATGCAAGTTACTGGCAGAGTACCCCACCACAAAGGGTGTCATGAAGGTCCTGGTGAGACACTCTAAGGATCATTGCTTTAATGAGCACTAATGAACTGATGAGTTTTAAATTACAAAAATAAATAAATAAATAAATAAAACATTTAAAATTAAGAGGGAAAAGTCAGAAAGAGAAGAAGAAGACTGAGAGAGGATACAAGTGTTTGTTCATGGGGACCTGAAGGCATAGCGCAGGCAGACAAGCTGAAAAGACACAGTCAGCAGCACAGAAGGAGGAGAGAAAAGCTGGGCGCTCACCACTGATCTCCTCACTTTTCTATTGATGAGCTAGGTGCATTCTTACACTGCCAAGAGAAAGACACAAAACACCAGTTCTAAAAGAGGTTGTGTATCTGGGGAATGGTGTGTAGAATAGGGAATGGTTTGGGATTGACTGCATGCCACCATCGATCCTAGTACATTGTTCAACACTGTGTAGTATGTAACACTCCGATAAAAATAAATCACAGTGAAAAATGTACACACACACGAGAAATAATGAGTAATGAATAATAAATGAGTTCTTATTAGTGCATTATTATTAATCATTATTAATTCAAACAAACCATTATCAAATGGATTTTTTCAATGAGTAAAGCAGTAGGAGGAAGAGGCTCTTTATAAGGATATAGTGTCATTGAAACAACCCACTCCAGTAGGGAAAATTTATGTCCTACCTTAGTCAGACAGTAAAAAACACTGAAATCATTCCCGGGACTTTTATTCATACTCTGAGGTCTAATAAAAATAAAGTGAGCTGCCGTTTATCCTCGCCCCTCTGCTTCCTCTTGGGTCCCAGATCTGACAGTAGAGTACTGTGTAAACATGGCTGGGATGTCTCCAGTAATACCTGCTCGTCTGTGGAACAGAGAAGCAGGGCTCTGACACACCTAGGCAAAGTCCCTTTGGGCAATTAAACCATTGGTGGTGCCAACCTTCAAGTTTTCCATGCAGGGTGCATGATTATAGCCACTCTAGCAGGAATCAGTGTTACTCTCTCCTGGGGAAACAGTAGCATCTATCCTTTTGACTCTGGAAGTATCACTCATAATGCTGTTTACTGGGAGCAATTCTGGCCCTCTCTAAGGTGGACTCATCCCTATGCCTCATCCTTAAGGAACAGGAGCAACACTTCCACACCCTCCCTCAGAAAACTAGACCTACATAAAGTGCTTTATGGAAACAAGAAGCTGAGAGCTCCCCTAAAAGGGTTGTCTACACACAGTTCTGGTGTTCTCTGCCTGGGAAAACTCCAAGGTTGATTTTCTGTATTATCTCAGTGACTGATCACACCAAGAGCCGATACTGTTTATGTTGGAACTTACATATGTGTGTTCTACACATAACACTTCTGTTGCACACTAGTAGCTCTGATTGTCTTGGTGACAGAATTCTCTCTTTCCTATTTAAAATGCTACATAATAGCTCAGAAAAAGTAGTACCTGTCAGTGAGTCATTTACTATTTTCTCTAGCATTTCCAAGCTGAAAGCACAGCCTTAAAAACCAGGAAGATGTGGATTCACTGTTCAGTTAGCAGAAAAAGCATGGGTCTTTGCCACTGGGGATGACTTAAAACTTCCTACCTGCGTGTATACAAGGTGCCCTGAATGGCAGTGCTCTTGGTATTAGGTACGTGAAGTTCATTTTATACATACGGTCCCTTAGATGTATTGTGGGAAATTCTGCACACATTGTCTATTACTCTGATCATGCAGGTTGCAGCTCTATACCGACATAAAAAACATCAGTTGGAGCTACTAAGCCCTGCCAGTTCTCAGGATGTCTTTCTCATCACGGGGCATGCTCTGTGCACATCTCCCTAATCACTCATCCGACCCAGCAGCAGTCATCACGCTCAGCTGGATGGAGCCTATCTGCCAATATTTTATATACTAGATGTTTAAGCACAGCTTTTTCTTTTTTAAATTGTATCTCATACAAATACCAGGTATTTTCACAGTAAAGGCAGGGAATGCTTATCAGGAACTTTGGGAGGCTTGGGCTGTACGTTTTTAATCTTTGTTTTTATTTTTTATTTTAAACTATACAACTGGAAAGCACTGAATAATGAAACAAAACCCCAGAAATACCCATGTGAGCTCTGACTTCTGGTTGGGCAGTACACTGGCTGGTTCTCATTTTCTGATATGATCAGTTTTATTACTCATACAATGGTAACTTTCTCATACCCAATTGCATGAAAACTCAGACTCAGCAGTGTGAGAAGAGAAACTTTTTAGAAAACCATCACTTTAGTGCATTCATTCTCTACCCCAGAATTTTCCTTGTGGAATATTATTCTTTTTCTGTCCCTAACTCTCATCCCACCCCAACAAGTCCATGAATGACAGGGGGATCTGCCTGTGTTGTAATGGGCTATTACACTAAAAAGAACATAAGTGTTCATTTTTGGAAAGGGCAGAATGAGGCCTCTTTCAGTTGCTGGTAATCTCATAGGGCATTCTACTGGGGCATCATTTTCTGATTTCATTTAATGTGATTGACCTCAAGAATTTTAACTAAGTAAACTTGCTAAAGTCAACGCAGGTTGCTTGTATTTAGCAGGGTGGTTTGGAGACATACAGTAAGAATGAAAACCTCATTGTTTTGCAGCTTCATTAACACTATATAAAGTAATTAGCATTAACAATCTTCCAACTCTCTGTGCTGTGTTATGTGAAATATCCATCAAAGTGACTTTTGACCAAAAAAAACTATAGCAAAACTGGAGGTTATTCATCAAACTAATATTTTACAGTGTCATATATTTTTTCAAAAATATATACTACTTTCCAAATTAATCTTTAAGCTGTAAACTTTTAGTACTATGATTTATTTTAGCCACAAAACATCTTTATATTAATGCTTCAACTCTGCTGCAACTTAGCAGAGGAAATGGTTTATTGGGTTCTTACTTCCATGCCCATCACTGAAGGAAGTCAGGGCAGGAACTCAAGGGGGAATTTGAAGAAGAAATTATGGAGGATCACTGCTTGATGGACCACTCTCAGGCTGATGCTTAGCTAGCTTTCTTATACAACCCAAGGCCATCATCTCAGGGAAGAGTGCTGCCCACAGTAGGCTGGGACCCCCTACAGCAATTAAAAAACAAGCCAAACCCCTATAGACATGCCCAGAAGCCAGGCTGATTTGGGAAATCCCTGAATCAAGACTCTCTTCTCAAGTGACTTTGTGTTGTGTCCAGCTGACAGCAATTCCTACTATGACAGTTAACATTTGAACAAAGTGGCATGCTCAGTTATCTTTATAATAAGCTGTTACCCAAAGTAATTTTGAGATATTAGAGGACAATGAAGGCTGTTTAACATAAAGCTCAACTTTTCTTGTCGATGTAATACTTTTTTTGGTATGTGGTATTAACTTACATGGTAGATGTGAATCTCATTCCTATTGTCCTTTTGACAAGAAATAGAAAAACAATTACCTTAACACCAAGTGGACTTTTCTAGCTGTAGTTCTGAGTTAAAAAGGTAATCAGACTCCAAGCCTATCAAAGTTACCCTTTACAATAATGAGGAAAAATTCATTGCATGCCATATCGGGGTTACCCTATTGTTAAACTCTGTTTCTTTTTTTTATGTTTATTCTAGTGTTTAGTGGGCTCTAATGGCAGACCACATCTGTGCTGCCAGCACTCTTCTGGGCAGTTTTGTTCCCTTGGCTTTAGCTTCTGTGGTTTCCCTCGTATGCAGTCAATGGATCTTCTGTAGCGGTGTGGAAAAAAAAAATGGCACAGCCCTTCACCGTAGTGATGAGAATGGAGCCAGTGTATGAGTTGCCACAATAGGCATACAGTGTATTGAATCTGTCAGATAGGCAAATGAGTTTGCCTACATTACCAGAAAGTGAGGAGAGCTGGGCAGAACACTGCCTACATTTGTGCAGCAAATGTTTCTGCATCTCTCTGAGCATTAGCTTCATTCTGTCTTCGTTTTACCACCTGACTGCAGTACCTCTGGGTTCATGCACTTAGAGAATTGATAAATGAGTTTCTTTTTACTATGCTGAAAATTCCTATTTCCCAGGGGAAGGCTGACATCACCAAGCTGATGTCAATATGCCAAAATGTCTACCAGCACACTTTGGTGTCTCAGCACTCCTGTGATCAGTGTGGGGTCTTCAAGCACAGCAACAGGGGAATTTCTGAGAATAGGTCAACCACCCCATCTCTGACAGCATCTGAATCTGAGAAAGGGATAAAGGCAGAGATGAAACTCTCCCACTGGAGTTCTCTAGCCAGTTTCTTCTTTCCTATCATTCCTTGAAATGGTTTTTAGAGTCTGTGTTCTAGTTCCTATGTCAACATATCCCTTTACCTTTAAAAAATGTTTATCTTCATTACAGAGGATACAGTAAACACAACTATATTCTACTTAGGAGCATAGATTAGGCAGACCAAAATGTCCATGGTAGGAGAGATCTGGGAACCTAAACAATAGTAAAACATTACCCTTCAACATACAGACCCTGGCTCCAGGCTGACCTAATCCCCATAAGAACTGAGAAGAGCCAAAGATGCAGAGGTCAGCCCTAGAAAATGTGTTTGACTACTCAAATTCACTTCATGTATGTGGAGATCATTTAATCATCTTCATTGACTAATAAATACATTATAAATGCACTTCTGCTGTGTATGATTGAATGTGCTTAACTTTAAAGTATATGCATTGATCATAGATGGTTGAGTAATAAGAACCACATGGTCTGGAGAGATGGCTCAATGGTTAGGAGTATGTGTTGCTGTTCAAGAGAACCAGGGTTTGTTTCCCAGAAGTCAAGTAGGATGGCCCACAACCACCATAACCCCTAGTCCAGAAGAGCTCATGCCTTCTTCTGGCCTTTGTAGATACCTGTGTGTGTGTGTGTGTGTGCGCGCGCGCGTGCATGTGTGTGTGTGTGTGTGTGTGTGTGTGCGTGCGCGCGCACGTGTGCGCAAGCGCGTGCACGTGAATACACATGTACACGTGGATAAACTAAAATAAGTAATAAAGATTTTTTTCAAAGAACAACAAAGATTCTTGTTACTGTAGCACAAGCCTAGGGTTATCATTTGTTTGGTAATCACCTTCTATTAAAAATATCTGAGTATAAAATGATCATATGTACTTTCAGCAGAAAGCGGGAGGTACCTTTTGGTCATTACTTGTCCCACATGACTCTTGATGCAGAAGACTCTCCGTGTCTGAATGCCCACTCCACATGTTGCTTCTCCATTCCAGCCAATGGTCACATTGAAGGCGGTCACAAGAGTATTTTCAGAGCAGGGACCCCAAGCAGATGTTTCCCAGTAGAGATGTGTACAGGAATGATCATTGCATAGACGGTACTCTTGCAGTTCCTGATTACTAGGGCATGGCTTACCACCTGTGGAAATTTTAAATAAGAAAGAAAACTTTAATGATGATGATATCATTTTTGCTTTTGTTCTTTCTGTGGCTTGGAGACCTAAACTACTAGGTACGTCCCACCCTAAGATCAGGAATTTATGGCCTGTGCCACAACTGAAGGCTTGTGGTACATTCTTGTCTCCTGGTTTTCAGGCAGCAGATCCATGTTCAGCAGAATATAAAATTAATTTGGTATACTATCCACCTATGGAGCACACATCTCTGAAACGAAATCCAAGAGATCCACTTTTCTTTTGTTTGCAAGAGCTAGTCAATGAGATAGACCAACTCATGACCTTGGGGTGACAAGTGACCCTGAGCCAAATGAACTCTATATATAGGTAAATCAGTGACACGGAATAGGCTATAACCTTGGAGTGACGTTATGTCAAAAACAACTATGCATAATTCCCTTTCTTAAGGAAGATGTTATATTTCTCTGAGTGCCATTTTTAAAATGTTCATCCTCCAGGAAGCATTTTCCTTCGATTTGAGAAACCTAGAGGCATGTATTAAAATCTGGCAAGAGAGTGCTCATCTGAAATAGTCTGACAACCCACTATGCCCTGGCAGGGAGACCAGGCAGATGTTCACCTTTAAACCCTTGGCTGAATCAGATAACCAAACTTCATTACTATCTATTCTTTTACATTTTTATTCCAGTATAAGAAGCAGTGTGTCTCTGAAGTATTGATCTTCCTCTACTCATCCACACCACAATGTTTTATTTAGTAGGACAAATGGCTCGGATGCATAGTGTCCACTTTGTTATTTTTGTTCTAATATGAATCTTCAGCCTTCATTACAGAAATATCAAAGCTAGGATATATAAGAGCAGTTGCACTTTAAGATAACAAAAATTCTCTTTACTATGACCCGGGCTCTATGGCTCACGATCATAGTGCTGAAGTCTTGTTGAAGATGTTACTCACAGCTGGAGTCCACTATCCCACTGCTCTGATGGAGCCAAAGCCTAGGAGGCAGAGGAAGGACATGAAAGGAATGGAATGTGTGTCTGGGGACAGAGTCCATTGCCGGGAATGACAGGAACAACTGTCCCTTTAATTTGCTCTGAAGTTACTGTTCACATTCCCATAGCACCTTTTGCCTTCTTCAAAGCTATATTCATGGCTTTCATGTTCCCTCCCTGGCTCCTGGCACTAGGTATCCTTAAAATAGAAACCAGGACACAGATAAGTACCTTACAGGTGTTATTGGCAGTTCTTGGTGGGAAAGCCAACTCTCCTAATTCCTGTTTTGGAACACTTTATACCAGATAGATCCAGTTTAGTTCCCAGTTGTCTAAGATACCTGAGCCTGGATGTGTGATCATACTTTGCTCCCTTCTCTAAGCAGTGGAATAAAAAGAGAATCTAATTAACTAAACAATGACATTTGAGATTCAGGGCTAAAGCAATTTCTGTGGAAAGTTGAGCTCAGCGTGGATAAAATAGAGGCCTCACAGAGAAGAAAGCATGTGCAGAAATGAAATGGTTAATGCACATTTAAAGAAAGATACCATCTAAGTTTATTTACATGCATGACAAGAATGTTGCTGACCCTTATTCAATAACAAAGCTTCCAGTCAAGGTACTGAATCTGTCACTCACCTTCTCCAGCCAAAGCCAGGAGAGACCGCGACCTGGTTTGTTTGCCATCTGCATTTTTGTTTGAACAGGACTGGGAGCAAGATGACCACACCGTCCACTCACTCACCACACAGTCCATTCGGCAGGGAATATCGCAAGCCATCCGTTCTGGAGGAGGAGGCACTGGGCAGAGACTCCCTGATACTTCTTCTCCTGTAACCAAAGGGTTAGAGACAGTTGCTTAGTGATGAAAACCGAGGCCAGTCCAAGGAATTCAATGGTCCATTGCTGTCTCTAATATTCTACTTTGTCTAGGAAACCTTCAGCAGGTGTCCAACCCATGAAGTTTACACACAGAAGGACCTTCAGCTATCCATAATGTTTACGTCAAGGGAAATCTGCCAACAAGTAATGTGGTATTTAAAAAGGTAGATAATATGCCAATTTCTCATTTGTCATCCTTCATAGGGATGAAGTCCCTATGTTTGGAAACAATTTAGCCATTGATGACTGGAGCTAAGTATGACTGACATTTTAATGGCAGCTATATGGAACAAGCATTCACTCATCTTCAGAGTGCAGACCAGGGTGTCCTGAACATCATAATTGATGCCAACCATCATATCCACCCGATAAGGGATAATTTCTTCAATCTAGTTCCTTTCAGTGCTTTTGTCCCCGAATACCCAATATCTAGCAAGATTACCATATGATTTTTCTTCTTTGTGTCAAGGAATAAATAATACAATTACAGTACAAAGGCCCGTGGCTGAAATTACAGACTATGTTAACAAAAACTGAAAACCAGTCTCAGGCCCTTCCAAACACATTTGATAAAAATCCAATCAACTTTTAAATAAATAATAACTATACTTAAAACCGCACTACAAAACAACCAAATATCAAAGATGACCATTTTTGCTATTGACACTGGTTCTTTACTGCCCCTCTATAAATAACATTTACAATCCTTTGATATCGTGTCCTAATACAATTTTTGTAAGTTTTAAACCAAGGTAGGATAGTGCTTAACAGTGAGCTGATGGTTAGAAATAATGGGATCGTTTCTAAGTTACTTTCTATATCTCAAAAGGTTACAATAGTTTATTGAAGAAAAAAACCTTTTGGATCATTTATTTATCATTATGACAAATTCCTTACATATAATAATTCTCCTCTTCTCCCCTCCATCCATTCACAGTCTCCTCATAAACAGAGGACACAAAGAATAACGACATAAAATGTGGGATGACAACTACAGGAGACAGCTTTGTCTGAGTGACTTTACAGTTTGGAATTTTCGTGTTGTGCTAAGTCTGACACAGGAAAATAATGTCAAGGACAAGAGTGATTATCAAGTACCTCCTTGGTGTAGGCTACGTATTTTGCATATATCATGCATTCGTTCAGGTACCCTTAGGAGAAGCTCATGGGGGCCAGAATGTTCTATCTCAGTTCACAGATAAGGAGTCAGAGGGACAGAGTGGAAAACTGGCTCATAGTTACCCCTGGGACAATTGGGAATCACAGCAAAACCCTAATTCCCAGGCTTCCATTATCCCATTATCTGTGCTATGTAAAATCCCCTGGAGATGGATACTCTTTTCCGAGGATGTAAATAAAACAAGCCTACAGGAAGCCTGCCTCAAGGAGGAGACAGTGTGTGGTGAATATCTGCATTCATATTTGTAAATGAGGCCAGGCTCATTGCCCTTGAGGTACAAATAAAATTTTTCAAGCATATTATGAGAAGTAATAGAGATTCCAGCAGATAATCAAGCTGAAAGCTCAGTTCCAATCATTCCCCCTTCAGTCTCAATCTATTTTCAGGTTGAGTCCACACAGTGTACCCACCCCCTCCAAACTCAACACAGGAAGTCATCTAGGGGCACCTCATTCCCGCACTCAGAAGCCAGCAGGTGTGGGGGGGGGGAAGGGGCGAGGGGGCGAGGCGGAGAACCCAACCTACATCTAATCAAAATGCAATCCCTGCTCTTGCGGCTATGATTAGCATAATTTTGACACAAAGCATTCTAAAGTGATGGTCTGCGAAAAACATTTCCAGGGATGAGAGATACAGAAATCTTATGAAAAGTGTTTGTGGAAGTACTGGGTCAAACATGCAGAATGCTGCTAGTATTGACACTGTAAGCGAGCATCAGAGATTTCTCAGGAAACAAATGGGATTCAGTGCTTTACTACAACAGGACATTAACAGCCACACCTCCTCCCTTTAAGAAACGGCTCTCTAAAATAAATAGCATCTTTTTTTTTTTTACCCCCCCTATGTGTTAAAAAAGCTTTATATTAAAGAATCATGAAACTGGCTATTATTCAAGGGGTGGAAACTGTGCAGTGACTGCGATGGGATTAAAAACACAGGCTCAGTGTAATGAACCTCCAAAAGCCCATGTGCACCATCCAGGTGAGCTACAGACACGCAAAATTAAACAGAGTCCAAAAGTAAGTAGCAAATAAATGGCACAGGCAGAAAACCCCATCGGGATTCGCAACAGAAAACCTGTTGGAGTTAGTTGGTGTCATGATACACCCTTAACAAGAAGCAGAGGCAGGCCAGGATTGTTGACCCTGAGGGGAGGGTGCCTCAGGAGAGGGGAGCTCCTCTAAAGGCACAGTCAGGAACATAACATCATGTGGAAGGCAGACAATACTGATCGCCGATGAGATGAGACACATTGGGACAGTTCTTTGCCCTTCTGTTCTAAGGGATAATGGAAATGTGTGAACACGTTTTTACTTACCTCCCGTCTTTAAGCTCCCAGTCACTCCACCTTGTCATGACCTAAATTTTACCTCCTCTCCAGGCACCACACTTTGACGCCTCTCAGCATTCACTTCAGGTTCTCAAACACTTTCTAAAGCAAAGCTGTCTCGTGAAGTGATATAGCTATTACTGTTGCAATGCAACCGCATTATACCTAGCAACATTCTGACAGATTGTCCTTGCGGGCTAATGCCGGTCTATGAACAAACAGAGAGGCTTTAAGGAAACCAAACCGATAGCCATAAGCAGGCCTTGCAAAATCTCCTATGTCTTTTTTGTGTAAGAAATCTCACCAAAGAAAAATTACATAGGGAAACATGCCCCAGTCAGGTGAGTATTGGGATGAGAATTGTAGCTACCAGAAGCAATTGCTTCCCTCAAGGAGACTGCTTAACTTCCTTATTTTCTACTATCTCATTGTAATAATGAAATAAGAACGTCTTCTTTGAGGAGAGCCCAAGGATGATGGATTACTTAGACAACCCATCAGAAAAGTAATATACCACATGATAGATTCTCTATAAGAAGGACCCTTACAAGATGTTATACACATGCATGCATATACGCATACACGTGTGCACGCGCGCGCGCGCGCACACACACACACACACACACACACACACACGTGCACACCAATAGACTAAGGGCCTTTTCATTCAGTTTTTACAATGTAACCATAGAATGCACAAGTTGTACTTTTCTACTGGGTACACATCAGAGTCTCTGTAGAGGTAAATGAATGACATAGATATTTATAATCATCTAACCCATTTTGTTGATACAATGAAATAATGAACCCTTCAAAGTCCCATTACAGCATCTGGACCTGACAACATCACCCCCACCTAGATCCATGTCCTCATGTTTCTAATATGCATATCAGGCCATATGTGTGCAGGCTTTCTTGTTTACTGTCTTTTGGATGGATCAGCAAGACCAACTGACTCCAGGTGTGTGTGGGAAACACAGCAACTTACTAAAGAGAAGCTAACCCACTAATGATGAGTATTCATAAGCTCTGATAAGTTAATGTTATAATAAAACAGAGGGATGTTAGAGCAAAATTGAATTCATCTTCCAAGGGGAATACAAAATTACTCCCAGCCTTTACCAAAACCCCTGGAATCGATGCTAAACAAGACTTCTGAGTAGACTTACTAATCTATTTAGGGTCGCAGGATCTCTTCTGATCTCCGCATGTAATAATAAAAATTCAATATGATAAGGTTCTATAAAATGAACATAGTTTAAAAAAACAACCTGGTGTTCTTCAGAACATTCACAATGGTGTACAACATTAACAATATTTCCGTCACTTCAAACTTAAGGCAAATTTCCAGTAATCTCTCTATTGACCATTCCCATTGGCCCCTGTATATTAAATAAAAACATTTGGCTCAAACATGGGCTCCTGAATATGCTAATATATGCAAAACTTGTGCTGTTGTCTATTTCTCATCACAGTGCCACTGAATGACACCATTGGCTTATTTTGTTTTTAAATTTTATTTGGGTACAGACTGACACTCAGTTGCCCAGGCTGGGTTCTAACTTGGGCTACTCCTGCTTCAGTTTCCTGAGTAGCTTGGGTTACAGATATCCACAACTGCACCTGAATTCAGCATTAGCTATTAGTTAATATTTTTTAATTTGTCCAGTTCCAGGGTATATATATCCTAATGATAATCTTAAAGTAGTTTACTGAAGGTTCTCTGTGGCTACCAAGCAAGAAATTGCTTTGAACCGAACACTGGAATAGTTACCAGAGATTGACACTTTTTCTCTACATTAATATGTTCTATTCGACTTTCTGTGTCATGGTTCTATTACTCCTTTTTTATGATAAGTAAACAACATAGCATACAATTATTAGTTTCACAACCTAGATTACAAGTGTTCAAAATAATAAAAGAAAAAACAGCATGAAATATCCACATAAAATATGCAGTACGATTTGAAACACAAGGAGGCATTTGGTTATCTTGTCAACTTTGAGCTACTTTACTCTCCCAGAAATGATGCTCGCTAGCTACTTTATTGACGTTTCTACTTGTGTACTACTGTACCATGTATAGAAAATATTGAAGCCATTATCAAAAATACTCTACGTGCCATAAAAGTTTTATGACCTACTTAAATCTCAGAAAAGAATGCCAATAAATGCTGATTAAATGCTTGCCGACAGTGGAGCACACTATCAGCAGACTTTTCCAGAACAAATTAAGTGGAGTACATCTGTGTTTAATGCCGTATTTTAAATCTAAATGTTACCTCCCTGAAATGAAGTTGCCTCTGGCCACTTCCAGTTACGGAAATGTTTATACGTCAATGCAATAAAATATCGAGCCAAAGTTCAGGGGAAAGCAGATCTTACTTGCGACATTCTAATATTGTCAGCGACATGACTGCTGAGTCTGCTTGCTCATTT